GAACTGAGATTAAGAGCCTAAAACACATCCTTAGCTATGGTTTTATATGACTTTCAAGAATATTCCATGTAGAAGTATTTTATATAGCAATATTGTCATCTATGTTTTTACATATTATGAAAAAGAGGTTCAGTGGGATTAAACGGCATGCCCAAGGTCACATAATTGATCAGTGTTAGAGTTGGAACCTGAATCAAGGACATCAGATTCCTAGGCTCTTATGTGTATTTTCATCTCAAGCTATAGACTCATGAGCCACTGAGCTTGGTTTCCTTTCAAATAATCATATTTCTTCATTTTTTAATTCCCTGGCAAATAATTTTTGACAGAACTATACATATTTAAGCATATTGTTTTCTTTAAAAATTTTTTTTGACGTTTTTATTTATTTATTGAGACAGAGAGAGACAGAGCATGAACGGGGGAGGGGCAGAGAGAGAGGGAGACACAGAATCGGAAACAGGCTCCAGGCTCTGAGCCATCAGCCCAGAGCCTGACGCGGGGCTCGAACTCACGGACTGCGAGATCGTGACCTGAGCTGAAGTCGGACGCTCAACCGACTGAGCCACCCAGGCGCCCCGCATATTGTTTTCTTTAAGCAGTACTTCTGGGTGCATTTAAAAAATTATATCCTAATCATCATCAAAACCATTGTGATTATTGTCATCAGTGAATGTATGAGGATACAATGATAGCCTAAAACAGATGCTGTCCCTGTCCATTACAAGGCTCGTTATTTAGGCAATTAGTCTTAGATATGTATACATGCAATGGTGATAAACTCTTTGAATCAGAGTTGCTGAGTACTAAGGAAGACTGTAATAGGAAGAGTTGATAGGTCAGGGAAAGCCTCCTTGAAGAAATAACATTTTAGCAGAGATTTGAAAAATAAGTTGATATTAACAAGACAAAGTGGGAGGCATAGGCATTCCTTGGGATTAAGCAATACGGCAAGCATGAGGGACTAAAAAGATGCCAATATGGTTATAGGGGAAGAAATGAGATGAGTAGAGGAGGAGATGAAGGACAATGTAGGCATGGGCCACACCATGTGGAACTTTTAGGTAATGTTAAGTAGTTTTTTTGTTCTACCCAAAGATCAATGGAAAGTCATAGTGTTAATCAGGGCGTGTGATATAATCAGATTTTTATTTTTAAACAACCACTCTGGCTAGAGTGTATAGAATGAGGTGGTGGGAGGATCAGCTGTTTGTCCAGATAGACTAGTAAGGTAACTATTGCTACAATGCAAAGAAGAGATAAAGAATGCTCAACTGCGGTTGTGGATGTTGAGATGGAGAGAAGTGGACAATTTGGGAAACATTTGAGAGATTAAATCAATAGGGCTTGATAAAGAACTAAATATGGTGGGTGATGGAGAGGGAGTCTTAGAGATTATGCATTGGCTTTTGGTTGGCAACAGTGAAACAGGCACAGTAGAATAGGCATGAATTTGGAGAAAGTATTAAAAGTTTGTTTTTGACATGAAGAGTTTGAGAAGCCTTTGAGACATCCAGTAGGAATTGTTTAGGAAGCAGTTGGATATACAGGTCTGGACAGAAATATATATTTGCATGTCATCTGTATAAAAGGATCATGGAAGGTATGGATGTGCATAATGTTGTCTAAAAGAGTGTGGTATGAGAAGAAGAAAGAACCTAGAATATAGTCTTTAGGAATTGTAACTTTTATAAGCCAGGCAAAGTGGATATGCCTGCCAAAAAGACAGAATAGGAGACAAGCTAGGAGTGCACTGTATCCAAAAGTCAAGGGAGGAAGGTATTTCAAGAGAGCAGAATGGTGGTTGCTAGTGACAGAGGAAAAGGGGATATAGGTAGCTGCTAATCAATGGGTATAAAGCTTCAGTGATGCAAGATGAGTAAGTTCTAGAGATCCACTGTAAAATATTTTGCCTAGAGTTAACAATATTGTATTGCATACTTAAAAATCTGTTGAGAGAATACATCTTACGTTATACATTGTTACCACAATTAAATAAAAATAATTTTAAAGAAAGAAGGGAAAAGAGACCAATAATGTTAAGGGCCATGGAAATGTCAAGATGACAACAGAAAAATATCCTTTCAGCCTTAGTTACAAGGAACTCATTGGAAGACTTAGTGAGAGCTGTTTCTGTGGATTGACAGAGATGGAATCCAAATTGAAAAGAGTGGAAAAGTAAAATGAGGAGGCTAGACTAGATTTTCTTTAAAGTCCCTTCCAACTTTAAAATAGTAAATGCTGTGATTTCATGCTGCTGGCCAGAGCCTCTCTTTGCCACATGTTTCCCTACTCACCCTACTCCTGGTTAATAAAAAAGACTCTGCTGTTGAAAGAAATGATTTGCAAAGACTGTATTACTTTAAGCATCATTACAACCTCAAACAAACTTGGGACAAATCATTCTATTCTACTTGGACATATATATTTGTTCTTTTGAAAAGAATCTTGAGCACAAAAATTCTTACATGATTTTTCCATAGCATCAATTCAAGAGATATATTTCCAAGAGCTGGTTTTATTTTTCGGGTCAGGACTGCAGGGATGAAATCAAGTCTAGATTTTCCATGTGGATGAATTTGGAAGTGAACAGATTCAAAGCTGCAGTCCAGGGATGTCTCACACTACACTATACTATTTTCCTTTTAAATTGAATCACCTTTTCTGGGCTTTGGGAGCTAAAAGAACACATCCAAAGAATTGATTTTGTATGTAAGCAGAATGCTTGGGCACTGCTGCTTTTCATCTAAAGAGGAGTTCCTATATTCTCACTGTCTTGGTAGGACGGAAATCTGATAAACGGTTGCATAGACCATTGCTACTCAAAGTGGGGTCAGTGGACTAGCGGCATCAACCTCAGCTAGGAATTTGTTAGAAATGCAGAATTTCGGGCACCACCTCAGACCTACTGGATCAGGATATGCAGTTTAACAGGATCCTCAGGTGATTTATATTAACATTAAAAGGTGAAAAGAACTTGTAATTTTTTTCTCAGAATCTACTTTTTAAAAATAGAGAATCCTTTGCTATTCTGCTATGATATTTAAATTGATCCAAGGGAAGATTAGTCATTTATGGACTGAAAACTAATCATATTATTTTGTTTTAAAATTAAGACCTGCACTTGAGTGCCAAGGTGACTCATAAGGTATACTTTACAGGCAAAAAGGAGGTTACTCACCCACCTCATGGCAGAACATGTATTTTTCATTTCCCCTTGCCAGAAGCTGCTAATTGCTTGCACTGAACTATTTACCCCTCTTCTTTTATTAATAATATTTGTGGGGCACCTGGGTGGCTCAGTCACTTAAGCATCCCACTCTTGATTTTGGCTCAGATCATGATCTCATGGGTTCATGGTATTGAGCCCTCCATGGATTTCTGTGCTGACAGCGTTTAGCCTGCTTGGGATTCTCTCTCTCCCTCTCCCTCAGCCCCTCCCCTACTCTCTCTCTCTCTCTCTCTCTCTCTCAAAATAAATAAATAAACATTAAAAAATAATATTTGTAAAATTACTTTGAAATAGCATACCTGTCATGCTTTTTGTACAGGATTTATAAACTTTCATCATTTTCTCTTTAGCCAGTTTAGGAGAACACCTACACTTTCTTGCATGGCCCTTCCTGGTGATTAACATCTGGAATGGACATATGAAAACTCAGCCCCTCAGTCTCTCCCTTCCTTCCTCCGTTTCTTACCTGAAGCCTTACTCTAACCTTTAATCAGGACAGAAAAAAGATTGCTACTGCCCCCTGCTGGCCTATTGTATTTTTCCTCCTCTTCAAATCGACTTGAACAGGATGCCCAAGGATTTTGAGCCACGGAAGAAAGCTCAGCGGAAGGGGCTTTCCCTAGTAGAGATGTAGAGATCCTTTGGGAACAGGCGGCTAAAATCAAACGAAAACACTCAGGGGGCGAGGAAGGCATAAAAGGCTTCTAAATTAAATTATCGATCCTCACGAACCTTTTTCTGCACATAGACTTCTCAATGCCAAGGAAATGTCCCCTCCTCTTCAGCACAGGACTCCTCTTTTGCCTCTAGGTTCCACTGACAAGGAATGAACTACCACTCCCCTATTATAATTTCAGTACTCCAGATTCTGTTTTCTGTCTCCCCCAATTTCCTTTTCCCACAGCTAGACCGTATTCCCTTTTCTTTTCTGCTTCAAACTCCCGTCCCACCCACCCACCTACAGACTCGCATTTCCAGGGGGTCAGACCCTAACCTCCTTCACCCTCCCCGTCTACCCTGACCTCTGTCCGCCCGATTGTCGTCGCACCCCCCCCCCCCTTTAGCACCCTTTCGCTGAACAGCGACTCACTCTTTGCCTTTGAACATCTGGCTTGTCCCCTCTTGAATGCTCTCCCCGACCCCCGCCCCAAGCGACTGAAAAACGAAACATGCGCACTTCAGAGCTAGGAGCTGTCCGAGTGCTGAAATTTATAGGCTGGGTAAGATCACGTCTCCGTCTCTTTCTGTAGCTCTCATTCCAGCACAGGATCTCAGCAATTTTGCCCTCTTCCCCCCTGCCCATTCCAGCGCGCAGAGTCCTTTCTTCTCTCTCATTTACAACTTCTTTTAAAAAGAGAACATTTTCTAGAGAAAAGAGATTTGCTAAACAGAAAGGACATAAAACAAAAGCCACAGCAACCCGACTTCCAGCATGGCATTGTCACCAGCCCCCTTTGCATGGTGATGCGATTAAGGTAGCGGCATTTTTATTATTCGGAAAAGCAGCTGGGGAATCCATCAGTTCTAAGGCTTTGTCTTTCCTTGGTTAACTGATGGTCCTGAGCCCCGATTTGACCTGACCATGATGCCTAGGACTGGCACTTTTTGTTTTTCCTCAGCAAACTGTACAAGCCCAAATCTCTTTTTGATTTCCAAGGAAACTAGATTCCTGCCAGATTTCAAATCTGGACAATAAATAGATACTTTGTCCTAGCTTCTTTCTGGAATCTTTTCGGGAATATTTTCCACAAGCATCACAGAAACAGGAATGAACCGGCAGCTAGTGAACATTTTGACAGCCTTGTTTGCATTTTTCTTAGAGACAAACCACTTCAGGTAGGTGAAACGACTTTGCATGCTGATATTTTCCTCATGAAAACTGTTTTAAAGAGAATGTGTCATACAATTTTTGTCTATTTTTCTATGCCCTGGACCATATTATTTTAATTTTATAGAGGAGAATTAGATTTCTTTTGTTCTTTTAAAAGGTGTAATTATGGGGGGAGGGTAGTAAATTTTCACAAAGGCAAGTTTTATGATGCATAACCCCACTCTATGCATTTCAACACGTTTTCACAGCCAATGTGATATTAAGGCAGTCTAATGAGTTGCATGCTCTTTACATTTCTATATAATAATGATTTTTTTTTGCTGTCAAATTCTTCTTAAAGTCATTTAAAATGATTATTGGATGCAATGCTTTTCATGTGGTGGAAGTGATTGGATTAATTTGCCAGGAGCATGCTCATTTTATATAAAATATAAAAGAACCCTAATTCTTAGTCAACTTGAAACTTGTATTTCAGCAACTAGATGCATACTACGAGCACTACAATTCAGGAAATTTCTTGAAACATCAAAAATATTTAAAATCTCATTTTACCACTATATTCCACTGTTTGGTATATTTGGAAGTTGAACGCCTACCAAAATTTAATTAGTATCACATCTTTGTATTTATCTATACATGAGAAATGGACTATGCATAATTAAAACAAGTGGGAAATTATTATTTGCATGCTTGCATTTTCTACCTAATTTATAAATTACCAAATCAATTGATACTTTAAAATATCAGATAATTATCAGTAAGTGAAAGAGCCATCCTAATGGCAGAGGTTCTAAGACAGCGTAGAGATTAGAGATGTTCATACAACAAAGTGTAGGAGTCTTCATTTATTTTCACCGAATTTTATGGTATTTTTTCACAGAACCAAGAGAAATGGAACATATAGTGATAATTCTATGAGTACTGGGAAAACCCACTATGTTCCTTTCAGGTTCACACCTACTATGATTAAGAAAAATTGTATGCTGGGTTTCATTAGAATCATCACCACCATCATCATCATCATCATCTGCATTACCACCACTATCACCATCGTAATCAAATAATATTTGATTAATCAGATGAATCTGCATATGGGAATGTGAGTATTTTTAGATGACTCTATCAGTTTTAACTCCTGCCAAATGTTTAAATCCTCCTTGCATTTAATACTTTGTATTTAATACTACTTCTTTGAAAAAGTGGCAAAAATGTGTTTTCTCAGTGATAGAATTAATTAGATTATTTGTTAAACTATTAAAACAGAGCTTGTAGAATATTATGCTTTAGGGAAGAAATAGACATTCTGTCAGCCACTATGTAATGTGAAAGAATTCATTTCACTACGAACCAAATAGGTTCTTTTTATAAGCCCTTTAAGGAAATTAAAAACATGAGAAATTTTCCAATCAACATTTAGTGTTTTTGATAATGCAGAAGACAAAATGATTTAGAAGTTCGTTTTCATGAATACTTTACTGGAGAATCAACAATTTAAACACTAATATATAAATAACACCTGATAAAATAATAGAACTACAGACACACTTATTGTTGACCTATTTTAGAATGAAGATAAATGTCCAAGTAAAGCTTTTCTTTTAGACAATGCATAGAAAATTATTAGTAGTTGATAGCTGGAATAGAATCCAGCAGGTGAGAAAATAAGCAACGGAATAATTAGTTCACTGTTTACTTTGTTCTATTCATATTATTATATACTTCTAATAAAAAGTAGAAGACTTATATTAAGGGCTGAAATGCTGGAAGAATTGTTTGAAAGTCATGGAATGATTTTAAGACAATCACATTTTATAAATTACCATCTTCATTTCATTATCATCATCTTTATTTCTCTGATGACTCTAGAAAGAAATAGCTTTAATATATGTCCATGAAATCTACAACATAAGCTATGCATGTTATATCATCTTAAACATCTTTATAGCTACAGTTTGGACATCTGGGAGATAGGAGTCAGGATTTATAACTCTCATCATTTGAAGTTAACTTTACAGAATGTACAAGTTCAGAAGCTGACCAAAGAGTCTATAATTCTCTTTTTCTTCTTACAAACATATCGAATACATTAACAAAACATGATGTCAAACATCCTGTGAACATTAGTTCTCAGGCGATGGTAGTGGAATTGTTGCTAAAACAAATTAATGATGTGTTTAGGACGGCTTTCTGCAAAGACCATGACTCCAGGTCTGGAAAACAACCTTCACAGACCCTATCGCCTTCAGATTTCTTGGACAAATTAATGGGAAGGACATCAGGATATGATGCAAGAATCAGGCCCAATTTTAAAGGTAGGTTCCATTTAAATTTATGTTAAGCCTGTGGGAAATCTAGATGTTTGAATAATATGAAATAAGTATTAAGGACTTTTTATTATAAAATGGAAACAAGTATAGTAGTCATTTCTCTTTGGCATTCTTTTGACCTAGCCAACATTTAATACCTTAAATTTTACAGGTTGTTTGCCACCTTTGAAAACTTCCCTCATTTTTATTCCATTCCACAAAGAAAACTAATGTCAGAGATTATTGCTACATTCCCTATTTTAAGTGGGAGTGTGAGTGGAAATGAATACAAGAGCAAATGATGGATTTGACTTGTATGAGTGTCTACCAGGATTCATACAAGATTCAAGGATTGTTCAGGATCTTTGGTTTTTATTTTGAATACCTACTCCCAAAGTGACATTTAAATCTCAGTATAAAACATGCCATTTTACACACTGTCAGGCCTCTCTCATTTTTCAACATTGTAACAAGAGGCTCTAATTGAATACATCAGAAATTTTTGGTTTCCTCTTGTTTAAACATTTTAACTGTTTATTTGAAATTGTTTATCTGAAATTAACAAAAATCATAGAATCGTAAAGTGCACATGTCAAAGATGGTGGGTCCTTTCTTTGCTTAATTAGAAACAAATCAAAAAGTTTGATGTTTTTATTTGTTTAACATTATAAACATGTAATTAATCATCTGTAGAAATTACTTCTTATCTGTTTATTTTTATTCTAAATAAGAACCAGTTATAATAAATGAATTATTCCTGATGCTTTAACTTTCAAATACATATTTTAAGAGTCTCTTGTGTTTTGTCCCCCTCCCTGTTTTTATATTATTTTTGTTTCCCTTCCCTTTAAATGACAATTGAATTTTATCTTGTAATTTAACATAATGCATTGTGGAGTGTTTATATTTTATAAAAGAAGAATCTTACAATATTCATGCATTGTTTTCATTTTGCTTATTAGCAGTTTAATTAGATTGCTTTCCTTGAGTTTTGATTAATTTTATTATTGGCAAATATGAGCATGAAAACTAAATTCTAAATCATTTCTTCTTTAAATGCTACACCTCTGAATATACCCAGCTGAGTGCACATTTCATAAACAGATATGTCACAATTTTGACAAAACAAATGTTTCTGATTTTTAGAGTATTTCCAAAAGCAAAAACAGAACTAAGTTCAAAGCTTGATTCTGCTAAAAACAATTTTCATGCTCATCCCATTTCATACTAATTTTGTGGTCATTGCTTTGCAAGTCAATATTTGAAATAAAATCCTCTGAGTAACAAGTTGAGAATGAGCTTTCAATGGGACTGCTCATTCATAAATTTATTCATTTAGTCATTCAATAACTTTTGAGTCTGAACTATATGGGAAATATTAACTACTGCATGCTTTGAAAAGTTGAGAGATGAAACAGGTTTGGGAGCTACTGTCAAAAATTTTAGAGGGGAGAGCAGATGTTACATGAATAGTTAAATACAAGAGTATATAATATTAGACAGAAATAGTTAAGGAGTTAATAGTTAAGTAACATTAGGAAGTACAGATAAAATGCTACAGGATTCCAACAAATGAAAACATGATTTCCTATTAAGCTACTCATGAAAAGGTTCATAGAGAAGGTCCAGAGATAGAAAATTGTTTCAAGTTTGTGGGCATCATGCTTAATAGCAGCACTTATTCATTATTTTCTAAAAGTAACTTTCCAAAAGGGGAGAGAAGTGAAGAGAGTAATAAAACAAATGCCCATGTTGCCATTGCTACTTCAAATGACCATATAGAATGAGCAATCACTTTCACACAGCTTTTTTTCTAGTCCTTCTGGGGATGTTACTCTTTGGAAATGATATTTCTCATGATTCTCAAGGATAAATAAATGGAGAGAATATCAAGTATAGCAAATCATGGCCATGTTTTTGAGATCTTTCCACTACTTAAAGACCTGAGCACAGGATGTTTTAAAGACTTATAAAAGGGAAATGGGGTAGATATCCTTTAAGACTCTTAACATTAATGGACTTCATGGAGTTTTGCCTCCCTCTCCCTTTAACTCTTCACCTCAAGGAACCCTGATCCTCTTTCATAAATTTTATTTACATGAACCATTTATATCAGATTAATTACCTAACAGCTCCCACAATTCTCTTTACTCTGAGAATCTTGGCTCTTCCTGGATGTAAAACATTCCCCATTATTTTAGACTAAAATAATTTTCACTCCTTGTGTTCCCATGAAACTTTATATGTCTAATATGGTTCTTTGCATATTTATGTTTTATCAACCCACCCCACAATGCATCTGAGAGGGCAAGAATGTACTATATACAACACACACACACACACACACACACACACACACACACACACACACATTGCATAGGGAAAAGAAGTCATCCTTTTCTCCAGAATGAGAAAATAAGGACTGATAAAGAAAGGAAAATATAGATCAATTATGAAGATTAGTGCTTACAATTAGATGTAGTAGAAGTTGAGGGTGGAAACTTTTGAGGGACCAACCAGGGGTCACAATGGCTAGTAAAGATGATCTTAGCTGAGCTGAGGAGAAAGACATAAAGAGATAATAGGGAACTTGTTAAATGAGGAGGCTAGGAAGAACATTATAGTACTTACTGTAACTTACTGTAGTTGATTAGCAATGTACGAATGAGAAATGTTCTATAGTAGGTAGAAATGAAGGGTAATTAGGAAATGTGACTGTATCTAGAATAGTGACAGGCACCCTGTAAATGCTAAAAAATAAATTGGCTATGATAACAATAAACATGGTGATGAACATGATGTTGAAAACAACAATAATAGTAATTAATAAGATGACAGAAGGGCAAGATTTGACCATAAAAATAAAAACAAGAGCAAAATATGGGTTTTTGAGGTAAAGGGAATGGTTTTCTAGATGTCCTATTAAATATTAGCTCTTCTCTGTTTTCCTTGCTGCCATACATTGGCAAGGGAAAAGGAAATGCATATGCATAATTTTTCTTATTGGATGGAATTTTTCCTGCATGCTTTTAAGTCAATAAAATATTTCATGTGTATTCCATATCCTTGATGGGCTCTGAAAGATGTCATAATGGGCATATATACAAGAAGGAAAATGGACGTAAGCTAGAAAAGGGGACCAGAAATGAATCAGACTTAGGCTCTATAATTGAGAGCCATTCTTAGAAACTATGGGGGGAAATAGCTTTTCTGATGTGTTGAAGCACAAGTGTATAAACAAAGTCATGAGTCAGTGTTGCCAATTGCATTCCAACTATAAGATCCATAGAGACCTGGGTCAGATCTTGTCAAAACATAAATTTTCAAAATCTTCAGTTCAGATGAAAACACAAGCTATATTCATTCACAATTACCTGGTTCTGAAACCATGGTAAATATTGATTCTATGTCAACAGAGGGGCCACTTTCCCCACTTGGGTGATTTGTCTCATTGTCAGTTGATTTATCATGGTGTTATTCCATCATCCTATCAGATATTCCTTTGTCAGTATTATTGTATCTTGAAAATGCCACTTTAAACATTAAGCTTTTAAGGAATCCAAATGAAATGCTCAAGCCTGGGCAAAATGCATTAGTTCCGATTCTGTCTCTTTGAAACAAAGCTTTTATCTATTTTAATGAAATTTTCTTTGAAAATAAAATTAACTTAGAGATATATCCTAAGTTGCATCCCAATGTAAATAAATAACATTTCACTATAGCATTCATTTTGGAAGAAGATCTGGGATAGATAATGCCAGGAGATAATTATTCACTCCACTTCTTTGTGCATGCCATGCACACTAATTTTTTTCTAAGTCTGGGAGACCTAAATTTGAAAGTGTGATGTGTGACATTAAAACCTACATTTGCATGCAATATGGTTTCCTTCATTTTCTAAGGAGTTATCAGCTCAAGAGGTGTTTCGGATACAAGTAGAAATAGATCCACTTCCAAAAAATTAGAGGTTCAGGTTTCTCCCCTTGGAAATTCTATTGTATGTAGCCAAGTGGAGCTCAAGCTCAAATGTGCTTACCAATCCCTGTAGGGGGTAGCTTGAGCACAAATGTCCAGCAGGGACATTTGGAAAGGGTGATTCTCTCAGTTAGTGAGAATGCAGTCCCAGTGTGATCGTTTCTTTGATCACCCTGGTAGATGTGGGGCATCAGATGTTACTGTGGATTCTGAGAAAAAGATTAGAATTCTTGCAAGTATCAGAAGTATGTGACTCGAGTGCAGGAAGTTGCAGAAGCCTTCAGGCACCTGAAAGGGTACAGCCATTTTAGAACAAGACAATAGGAGATAAAAGGGAAAAGGGATTACTGAAATGAAAGGCTGCAGATAACAATGGGAAATTTACGTATGACAGTTTTGTTCAGAAATGATGCTGATGAAGATTCTGTAAAAAAAAATTAACGTTTATTTTTGAGAGAGACAGAGTGCTAGCAGGGTAGGGGCAGACAGAGAGGGAGACACAGAATGCGAAGTAGGCTCCAGGCTCCACATTGTCAGCACAGAGCCCGATGCGGGGCTTGAACTCAACGAGCTGTGAGATCATGACCTGAGCCGAAGTCGGTCACTCAACCGACTGAGCCACCCAGGTGCCCCAAGATTTTTGAACATCTGAAATCCATTGACTGTGTCACAATTTAGCTTTTCTGGACTATATGGACACCAACCAACACTTTTGTATATACTACGCTGCTACAATGGGCCTACAAGGTGCTTGCCAGGATTTGAGGTGACATCAGGAAGGAGGCATGTACAACACTCTAATAGATTCTGGAAAAGTATATGTTTTCCTTTCCATGGTGACAGAGTAGTATGGTGGAGAGACTCCTAGACTTGGATCCAGAAAATTCACATTCATGTCCTTTTTGAGAAAAGGTGTCTTCACTTCTCCATGCCTCAGGTTTTCTTCTGCCTTTGCCCATTTCATTTGAGTCCTTCTGAGCATCATATGAGATCATGCATCTGAATGATTTGTCTTTAACTATTATGTTTAT